TAAATTCTGTTGGCTTGCATAGAAATTTCCTGTATAGTTTAGTTTTCGTTTTCGTGGATTTTATTAGTCCATTAGTTATCCATGGTTTCTTAGGGCATATGTTGTCTTTTAATTTAACCACTTTTATTGGAAAATGTTTGTTAAAAATTCCTTGAAAGGACTTTTGAAACTCTTCATAAGATTTTTCAACGTCAGGTTTTGATAGTGTAGATGGCCATGTCTGATTATTTAATTCATTAACAAAGGATTCTCGTGCTGCATCAGGCATTGGTCGAGTTTTACTTAGCTTAACACCGTTTTCAACTTGATTTTGGTTATAATCTAGACATATTTGGAATACTGGTAGGTGATCCGATAAATCGTTAAATAATATTCCACTAATTTGTTTGTTGATAGCTAACTTGATTGCAAAATATATTGTCAATTAAGGTTGCTGTATGTTCAGTTAATCTCGTTGTTTTAGTTATAAGAAGGAGAAACGCAGAGGATGTTAGTTGGTTGAAGAATCTGTTTGCAAAAGAACAGTTTTCATACTTGAGTAAATCAATGTTAAAATCTCCCATTAGATAGCAAGGCTTATTTTCTCTATCTACTTTCGATAGGATTTCATGAAAAGCTTTTTCAAATTCATCATATTTGCTATTGGGTGGTCGATAAATAATTCCGACTATAACATTAGGGCTATTATGGTTCAGGATTTCAATAAATAAAAATTCTACATTATGTTTCCCGGTTGTTATACCATTATATCATCGCGGATTTTAAATTCAATGTGATCTCTTATAAATGCGCAAATTCCGCCGCCAGATTTATCTACTTTCCTGTTTAAGTAAATACTGCTATATCCTGGTATGTCATAGTTTATGTCAATGTTGTCTTTAAACCAAGTTTCGAATTCTGTAAGCGCTATTAGTGAAAATTTTAATTTCAGTATATTTAGAAAAGTTTGAAGAGAGTCGACTTTATTCTTTAAGCTTCTTATGTTTAGATGCAGTAGTGATAAGTTATTTGAAGCTATATTTTTAGTTTCTATTAAGTTATTAAATGTATTGGTGGTATAATAAGAATTTTTAATTACCGGATTAATTGCAGAGGGTCCTGAAGGGGGGGGGGGTCCCAATCCCATTTCCCACCTGAAATTTTGGCAAAATCCCAGTCCCAGTTGGATTTTTATTAGAAATCCCAGTCCGAGTTATTGAAATCCCAGTCAATAAAAAACCCCTTATTTATCGGTACAATAAAACAGACTTTTAAGCCATCGTGTGTGCAAGTGGCGCACACTTTATGAAATTTGGGGAGCTTGTGCCGAAGTCACGGAAAATTTTTAAATTTGAATCCCGGAAATGGCATTTGCAGCATTCTGAGACTCGCATAATCAGAAAACCCAGAATTCCGGGCGCCAGAGTATGCCTGTTCGCAGGTAGTGCTATGAATAATATAGTTAACAACAAAAATCATGACCAAAGACACCAGAAACGGATCAAAATTGTATTTTAAAATACTTAAAACGTAGACAAATTGGGAATCGACTCGCATTACCTCAATCCCAATCCCATTTTTGAGGACTTCATTTCCCATTCCCAGTGGCCAAATCCCAGTCCCAGCAACCCAAATCCCATTTTCCCAGTCTAAAAGTAGATCAATCCCAGTTCCCATTTTACCCCTTCAGGACCCTCATTGCAGATTCGTCAAGGTTTTCAGTTTCACTATTATTTAAACTTTTAAACGGATCAAATACTAAATTATTAATTCTGTCCTGATCAATCTCTGATGTCGAGTTTTCAATAGTTTGTAAAAAATCAGGATTATTTAGGTTATTAAACGGAAAACAGGATTCCAAACATTGATGACATGCAAACGAATCATTATTTGATATCACATTTTTTAGGTCATTGATTCTAATCTTATAAGGTGCATCCTGTTTTTGTGTGAAAAATGTTGCCACATATATAACATTTAATTGACTTATCAGTAATTTGCAAGTTGCACGTGTAGCAATATATGTTTCTATTGTTTGATCATTATATATAGGCATTTAGATTGGTTTTTGATTAAAGTTCGTGCTGAGTAGGTATATATACTTATTAAAAAACAGATAAACATCGTGTATATTATTGTAGATATCTAAAATTAAAGTTTGTTTAAACATACAGAATTGAACGGGTCTATCAACGTGTCAGAAAATACCTCTGGTCATTTATATACAACTTGTCTCTGATTATGACTGCTTTTGATCCGTTTTGTCTTGCCTCTTTCATTATTGGGTATAGCTTTTTCCTTTCCTCGGCGATTTCCTTGGGATACTGCTCGGATATTCCAATCTTGGTACCTTTTAGCTTTTTGCTGTTCTTCCGGATAAGTTCCTTATCTTTGAAGCCGAGGAATTTCGCAACAATAGGTCGCACCGCACCCAACCTTTTTTTCCCAATTCTGTGCACCCTTTCGATTTCCATCTTCTTGAATTCGGGATTGATCTCCTCCAAAACCTCTGACACCACTTTTTCAGGATCTTCTTCATCATACTCAGGTAGATTGTAGAACATAAGGTTACTCCTCATGCTTCGTGCCCTGAGGTCAATTAGCTCTTCTTTAAGGGTTGACGCCAACTTCTCGAGACTGCCTATTTTTTCTTCATTTTTCAACAATATATCATCATAGCAGGTTTGTTTTAACTTCAATTCTTCAGTTGTATCGTGCATATAAGATAGCGAGTGTTTCCGTTCAGTGATATCATGATCCACGTGTTTTAAATGCGCTTCGATTGATTCAAGCTTGTCCAGTTTCTTGTTCATGCTCTAAACTAGCTTAAATAGCGATTCTAGATCCCATTTTTTTTCGACCACTTTGTTATCGGATCTTATTAATACAGCCGATTGCGGATTTATCTAATATTTTGGCTGGGATCGCGGATTTTGCTTCAAATTTGGGCGGATCCGCGGATTTGTATGCCCCTATTCACCCCCCTTTAAATTGGAGCAATCAGTGTCGGCTACTTATGACAGTCCGCCATATTTTTGAGATCAGTGAGGATGACCACCCACCCAACACCCCAACATCGTTGGTGAGCCCCGCGATAATTGACGAACTTTAGCACGGCGTTTCGCGCCGTCGATCGGCTCGGGGATAAATATAGAATTTGTTCTTGTTGTTCAAGTCATTCCTATGCATTGTATGCGAAAGTTTCTTAGTTAAGTTAACTTTTGTAGAAGTTCATGATAAAAAGGAAAACAAATTATATTCATAAGCGGCCTGTACGAATTAAATTCATTTCACTTCAAAAAGCGAGTAATAAGTTGAAGCTCGAGTTGAAGAGTTTATTTGCTTAATATCGGCAAAAAGCAGTTAATTTCAATTCACATTTAAAAACGTTTTACATCGAGTTTCGTTTTGAATATTACATTAAAATAAAGCCCTTAGAAAGCAAAATAATATACCTATATATATATACTTTATATGTTTTATAAATTGAATTCTATATTTAAAAATGTTCAAGTTTCATCTATTTTGTAGAAGAAGCTTTATAATACTAATGAGACGGCACCTATATTGCATAGTCCTGATAGTCGTGCTTGAAACTATTCAAAACACTTATAGTCGTGTTTTATCAGTATATCTAAAATTAAATAGTACATATTAATATCATTTTAGTTAATTTACTTGATTCTGATTGGTTAACAACCGTGCCGATCAAAGTTACATAAGTCGGCACGAATACGAGCCCACGTGCATTAATTAAACATAAAAAGGCAAAATCTAAATAAACAATTTGGAAATTTATATTTTATGCGCTCTTATTTTGCAATGAGCTCTTTAAGTATGTTTAATATAAAAAAAGAAACAAAGATTATTCAGTTTCTCAATGAATTGAAATTAAATTAAACACCAGAAGTTAATCTCAAAATTGTCAAAGGCACAAATATTTTACATAGGACGAAAGAACAGTTATTTAGCTTTTCAATTGCATTCTTTTTAAATCGTAACGATGAAAAATGGCCACATACAAATAAAAATTGCCGGTCGAAGTAACATTCTTCCACTGTTGGGAATTACATGGAAAACGAAACATAAACAATTCCGGCCAAGAGGGAATTAAAATTGAATGTTAAATTATGTAAAATAAGCTCAACTCGTCAATCTTCGTCCTAGTGAGACCATAAGAGCGTCCATTATTGCATTAAACATGGTTTAATTAACCCCTGAACAGAGAACATTCGTAATCAAAACGTTTTGCGAAACAAGTATACCTTGCATCAGACTCGCGGTGCTTTTGAATTGATTAACTTTGCAAAATTAATGTATTTTCAATTCCCAACGGTGGAAGAATGTGATTTCGACCGAAAATTTTCATTTGACGACTATGTGGCCATTTCTCATCGTTATGGTTTAAGAAAGATATCATAGAAAAGCTAAGCAACAGCTCTTTCGTCCTTAGACAACCTGCATGTACATATTTTGCCAACACACGTTAGATATTTCATGTGAATATTTCTTGAAATATTATACGAAATTTAAACATTTTCGGCTGTAAAGTCAAAATTACAGTTGCCGACATACAACTATTTCAATTAAGGTTGCCCCCGATCAAAACGGAAAAGTCGAATACGAGCGCGAAAGGCTTGCTGGGAATCGCTAAAATATTTATTAATTTTTTAGCGATTCCCAGCAAGCCTTTCACGCTCGTATTCGACTTTTCCTCTTTGCTCGTGGACAACCTTAATTAAAATAGCTGTATATAGTCTTGTTCACCAATGTTTAATCTACTAGAAAATCCTAGTTGGCAGCTTGTATAAAAAATGCCATCCGAGTGTGAATTTCTGAAGTCGACCAGTCGTCCACTATTAGTAAGTCGCGATTATAAAGAGTAGCATGCAATGTTAATGTAACATTCTTAATTATATCCGTTAATTATACGATTTGGCTTTAATACCCGTTAAAATGTTTGTCTCTGTCAGTTAAGACTGTCTAGGCATAACGTTAAAAAATTCATCTTGCCGCTTTAAGTCCTTTAACGTTCTCGTTCAAATACGAGATAGAGGACTTTTTAGAGTTTCAAAGTCCTAGTGGCTAGTGCGTTTGAAATTGCGATAAAATCCGAACTCTTGTATTTGACCTGACTTCTCAAATGTTGTAATTTACATAGTTTCAAAGTTCTAGTACTTTAAACTGTCCTGCAGGATGTCTTCCTCCCTGATTAAAGATTAATTTCTTTTGTTTTTGATTCGTGCTTTTTATTAATGAGTTAAGAATAAACAGTTTCACTACATTTTTAACGGGTTTTGTTTGTTTTATGATATTGACAGGTAGTGATCCTTCCCACGGCGGTAGCAGCAGCAACAACGATGGTCTACGTAAGTTTTGATATATAACGTCATCCTAGAGTTGTAACCATGCAATGTACCACTTTCATAAACATTAAACAACTTATTGTTTTAGAGAAGCTTTCGTAAACAAGTTACAAGTCTGACACGAGGATTTTCAAACAATATAAATGACACAGTTTACAAACAAGCAATTTTTATATTCTTCTCAAATTTTGGAAAAATAATAACCTATAACATAAAGACCTTTGTTGCGAGGTTATTAGCCAAACCAAACGAACTACTGACTACTAACATGACAAATCTGTGTCCGATTTACCGATAGTATATATAAAGTCAAGAAACATATTGAAATAATCTTAAAATATATTTTTGAACTTTATGACAAACTTTATGTATTTTGTATCTTATATAAGCACAATAACACCTTGAAATAAAATAGTGGGCTAAAGTAAACCATTTAGTCCTTGCTATTAGAGGATATCTTTATTTACTTTGCTCAATTGCCGATATTGTTCAAAATTTGGACAAACTGTCTACCAAAACCGGCTGGAGTTGGTTCTTAAAATCTGCCCTTTGAACTATGTTGTTTTGGACTAAAATATTCCCTTTACTGAGAAGCCCAATTTTATGTTTTGCATGTGATCTATTCTTAACTTCTTATTAACCGAACGCGAGGTCTGTTAAGAGAAATATTGGACCGAGGTCTTTTTGTACAGACCGAGCCCGTAGGGCGAGGTTAGTACAAAAAGACGGAGGTCCAATAGCCTATTTATTAATAACAAATTAAAGTATAATTTTCAAATTTTCGATTAGTTTTACTGTTTTGTTTCAAAGTGTTTGAACAGAATGCATGGACTCAACTGCTGTGCACTTTCATTCCGATTTCTTTTGAAGTGTTTCATAATAAATTAGATCTACCATTCCTATATTCCTTTTGTTGTTAAACATATTTTACAAACAGCTTACTGACTATATTCTTCCATTATGCTTTAGGTTGGAAGATTGCTATTGCTGTATGGCATTGCTATTTTGTATGGCATATTTCGTTACTGTAGTCGTAATTGCTAAAATGATGTTCTAATTGATTATATATATAACGTTATGTGCTTGTAATAAATAGAAAAAATTAGAATAAATAGAAACAAAAAGAAATAAATGTATAATCATGAGTGACATTATGCACCAATTAGCCTTTCTCATGCACGACCGATTTTCCGCTATTTTTGGAGTACTACCTCTCCCACGTTTAAGACTGTCCGCTCCACGAAATACGACTTGTTAGTATTATAGGTAGTTGTTTGTATAAATGGTAAATTTATAGTTACGTCTTTTAAAAATCGCTTTTCACGTTGTTTGCATTGTCTAGAATCTTTCACGAGGGCAGACAGTACCCCTAAAATGTCGGATTTTGGCCTTCGTGAGGGAGGTTAAATAGCAGATGGACCGACGATAACTTGGAGCTAACATACAATAATCCAATAATACAATACACGCTTGGGATTTCAGTATTAAGATTTATTCACAAATAACAACAATCTGAAACTAAATAATAATGAAATTAAATCGGTATGTTTACATGTATTAAATTAGTACTAAATCACAAAAATGAATTAACTAAGGCTTTCTACTTACATCTGTCCTAAGCAAGTATCCTTTTCCTTTTATCTTAACATTTAACAATAATAAACCTTACTTAAAACTTTATAAACTTCATAAAACCATACGAAAACGTGTTCAAAACATTTCTACAAGCTCATCACATTTTTCCTACGAACCCTTCCGACTAAGGTCCGAGTAAACTCCGACTAACTAAAACATTAAAATAGTCTTACATGAAGTCCTTTCATCGTCAATGAAACACTCCCCCCGACAATGGGAGAATTCCCATTCACTCCTCTTCGTAGCCTTCTGCTGGATAAATTACGCATATCTTGTTGATAGGTCGGCTGTAGGTTCCCGTAGCAGTTTTCACCTTCACATTTGACCAACCCGTCCTCTCCCTGATAGACTTCCACGATCTTTCCGGTGTTCCACTTTCCCCTTACTGCGTTTGGCTCGGACACTATAACATAATCGTTCACCGTTACATTACGAGTCTGCGTATTCCATTTTCTTCGTGGGGTTAATAGCGGTAGGGCGTCTCTTGACCACTTCTTCCAAAAAGCATCAATAATTCTCTGACAAAACTCGAATCGGTGGCGAGGATTTTGTGTTTCTCGGAACGGACCTTGAGGCACAGCGTTCGTAGCTCTGCCCAATAGTATATCGTTTGGACATAGGTATCCGCCATCATCCGGATCTGTTGGTACGCTTCCAATCGGCCGTTGGTTAACCAAATTCGCAGCTTCCAAAACGCACGTGTATAGCTCGAATGGTGTTAAAAGGGCGTCGCCAATTGCTCTCTTCATTGCTAGCTTCACACTTTTTACCATCGCCTCAGAGCATCCATTTTGATGCGGTGCCAATGGTGTGATGAATTGCCATTTCATTCCTCTGGCTGCGCAAAATTCTTCCAATTGATCTTTGTTCCATCCTTCGATCATTAACTTCAATTCGTTGTTTGCTCCTACCATCTGCGTTCCGTTGTCAGATAAGAGCACTTTCGGATAACCACGGTATGAAAAGAACCTTCTTAAGACTTGCCAGAGCTCCATCGTGCTGGCATCAACTGCAATCTCGCAATGGATGGCTCTGGTATTCATGCACGTGAATACTACACCATAATGTTTAACTGTTTTGTTTCTGCCTACTTTTACGTTGATTGGTCCAAAGTAATCCATCGTTGAGTAGAGGAACGGTGGGGTGCACGGCTGCAAACGAAATGGTGGCAGGATAGCCATGAGCTGGGTTTCAACTTTCGCTTCGAGCTTTCGACATGTTGTGCACCGTTGCTTGACGACTTTCGCAATCCTATGAGCTTTGATGACCCAATACATTCTACGTATTTTGGCGACTGTCGTGGCGACACCAGAATGACTTGTTTCGTGAGCATCACGGACTATTAAGGTGGACAGATAGTGATCATATGGTAAAAGTGAGGGACGTCTTTCATCGTAGGAAACTAAGGTTGGATCCACACGACCTCCTACCCTGAGGATATTTCTATCGTCCTTATATGGAGACAGGGTCTTGAAATCGCCTCTAGGTAATCTCTTTAAGAGATTTGACTGCATCTGTTTTAGCCAGTACTCCTCCGCGTTTTCCAATTCTTGATTGGTTAATGGACCAACTTCTGGTTGTTGATTTCTCTCATTTCGACCACACTTGATTCGACAATTCTGGATAAATCTCTGGATGTAACTCGTGATCCTTATTACTCGTTTCCACTTCGAGAACCGTTTACAGTCGAATAACGGCTTGCTGACAGCGACAGGACATACGATCTTGACTTGTCTCCTTTCTTTGTTAACTTCCTTTCTTTCTGGTACGCCAGTTTCCATCGGCCATTGCTCCTCGGGTAACTGTATAAACACCGGATCGTTTAACCATCTACCATTCACTTCTTCAGCCGAAATACCTTTCGTTAAATCGTCCGCCACGTTCATTGCAGTGGGACAATGGAGCCAGTTGGAAGGGTCGGAGTTTGATTGAATCTCACTAACTCGGCAAGAAACAAAGGGTTTATAGGTTCGCGGCTGTCCTTGAATCCATGCAAGTGTGACACGACTGTCCGAGAAGAAGATTGTTCG